ATAGAACTAATATCAATAAGTATATTTCCTTTTAACATCAATTTGTAAATTGTAAAAGATTTGTTTCAAATTTAGGCCATCATGCTTAGCATGGTAACAGACTGTATTAATGCTTCATGCACCATTTTATTTGTGACTAAAAACATGAAAAGGGGTACTGGGGAAGAAGGATACAAACCTGTAAAAACACGTGATCTGCAGTCACAGATCAGAATTGTTGAACCTGATATCATACTGGGAAGTATGATGAGTCAGTCCTCATTATTCCATTTATATGTAACGACAATACTCTCAGTATATACCCTTAACAAAAATTTTGAAGCATGGAACAGGTACTATTATACCTTTCTTGCAAACAGCTTGTCTAAGAGCAGGATATTGGGCTCACGGTAGAAGAAAGGGGCAAAAATGTAAACATTTTAACATTTGCCAATATTGAAAATTCTGTGTCACTATCCAAATTAAATGTGTTTAGAAAAGCAAAAACCAAGTCAGTACAGGAATCCATAATACACAACACTAATAAAGTTGGTGAGTTGTCATCTCCCGAATGCTGTGTAGAAAAGCCTTGTTTACTACCTGTGAAAGATCATTAGGATCGGTAGAAGTCTGACCAGGAAGAAGCTGTTCTATAACATGGAGGCTCCAATAGAAAACCTCTCTTGTCAGGCACAGTGCTCGAAGTGGCCGATTAAATTGGGACTTTCTCATCTCTGATTTTATGTCGTACAATCCCCAGACAAAGTGGTAACATGAAAGTTAGAGAGATGTGACAATTGGGAGATACAAATATCCTCTTTCAAAAGGCTGGAAAAACACAGATCTGATTTATATATTTGAAATAAAATAGAAATACAAATACATTTAAGATTACTCTGGGTATTCAGCACTTTCCTCAGATCTCATAATTAATGCAGTGAAGTGGGATGGGTGGGTTTCAAACTGGCAAGCCGCGGGCTGGATACATCACACGCAGGCCACGGCCATCCAGCTTAGCAAAGGAGAACAACTTCATGATATGTCATGTGATGGCAACATGATCCCGCGAGTTTGACACCCATGCACTAAAGCCATTTGTGGTTGAATGTTTGCATTTTTGAAAAAAATAAGTTTCTTGATGCTGTTTGTGAGGCACATGTTGTATTACAAGCCTGTGTTTATATTCCTCGCTTACAGATAAAATTTTTATCAGAATCATCGACCCGTTCACTATAAAACCTCTGGATTCGGAAACTATACTTAAAAATACAAAAGAGACAAAAGGCAGACTTATCACAGTGGAGGACCATTACCCTGAAGGTAGGCTGGAATATTAAAAAAGGAGCATCTTCACCATTCAAATGCATCGTATAATGAATGTCCAGTCCCTCTTCTACCACTCTTTATCAAGGCTGGTTTGTTTGTTTTTAATTTGCCTGAAACAGAAGGTTGCTGCTTTCCTTAAAGGAAAGGCCACAGAATACAGGTAGTCCTCGACTTACGACAGTTGAACCCAAAATTTCGGTTGCTAACTGAAACATTTGTGAAATGGGTTTTGCTCTATTTTACAACCTTGCCACAATTGTTAAGTGAATCGCCCACAGTTGTTAAGTTAGTTAAGTAATAGCCCACAGTTGTTAAGTAAATCTGGCTTCCCTGTTGACTTTGCTTGTCGGAAGGTCGCAGAAGGTGATCATGTGGCCCCAGGACTCTACAACCGTCATAAATATGAGTCAGTTGCCAAGCGTCTGAATTTTGACCATGTGACTGTGGGGATGATGCTGCAACAGTGGCATGTGTGAAAAGTCATCAGTCACTCTTTTTCAGTACCATTGTAACTTTGATCACTAAACAAACTGTTATAAATTTAGGACTACCTGTACTTGTCCACGTGCGTGGCTCTTCCTTCAGGCTTAGTTCCACTACCCAACCGTTCTCTTCAGATTCAAACCACCATCTTGGTTTAAAAACGGAAAGGCCTCTTATGGAAGCAGTAACCCTATAACCGCCCGACCCCTCTAAATGACTCCAGTTTTTTTCCCTTCAGTTTCTAATAACTATTTGCTTACTAAACACAAGCATTTCACTTACCCTCTTCTCTACATCCTACTTCTTTAGGTGGCATTGGAGAAGCTGTATGTGCTGCTCTGATTGGCGAACCAGGGATTGTGGTCCGTCGCTTGGCTGTCTCTCATGTGCCAAGAAGCGGGAAGCCGAATGAACTGCTCAAGTTGTTTGGCATCGATAAGGACGCTATCATCCAGGCAGTGAAGGCCATGGTCTCCAAATCAAGGAATGCTGAGTAATTTCAACCTGTAACGTGCTGCTGTATCATGATTGGATCTTTATCTGGCAGAATTTCTTTTTATATATAGAATACTGTAACATTTGAGTACATGTTTAAAACTGTATGCAAAGAGTTCTAATAAAAGTAAACGTTTCCGGGAAAAAGTCGTCTGATTGTCTCATCAAAAAATACTTGGTATTAGAATGCTGGAATTGTTTGGAAGCCAGCAGGTCTAGCATAAAATGTGAAACACGGACTTCTATCTTCATCCTCCTAGAACAAGGGTCTTCAAACTAGGCACGCTTAAGACTTGTGGACTTCAACTCCCAGAATTCCTGAGCTAACATGACAGGAGAAGGAATTCTGGGAGTTGAAGTCCACAAGTCTTAAAGCTGTCAAGTTTGAAGACCCCTGTCCTAGAATATATCAAATCGCCATACTTTAATGGTATTGTCCAATACATGGAAATGCTTTATAAATCCCCTCACATTTAGAGATGGTGATTCTTGGAACTCAATGAGTTTCATAAAAAAAGAACTAAAAAGATGATTTTCCAGCTGATCACTATTTTTAAACTGCCGCTCTTTCCAGTCTTATGGTGAAGATGGCCTGTTTCCATATCTATCCATATGAATTACTTCTTGCAACCGTTTGCAGGTTCCTTTCTTAGTCTTGTCTGCTTGACAGCAAGGTTGTCTAAATTGGAAAAAAATGTGGAAAATAGTTTTTCTTTTGTCAAACTTTTTTTGTGTTTACTTGTGTTTTAGAGAATCTGAACCAAAGCCAAGAGATACTTTCTTTTGGCACAGTGATTGTACTAGTAAAGTAGAGAAATGTGGGAGCTACAATACACTTCCTCCTTAGAATGAATAAATAGAAAAGTATTAATTTACATATAATTGGCATATGTCTTTTACTCATTCTGGTCATTTGTAGAACCAGGATTGTGCAAAGCTATTTCACAAACCATATTAGTGTACACAAAAACACCCTTTCTTTAAGGCTTTAAGGGAGCCATTTCCTCTGGAGAGTGTCCAACTGGTTCAAGAGTTTTCTACCAGACAGCACTGCATCTGGACAGGGAAACGAAGTGGTTGTGCTTGCATATAGAGAGGCAGGTAGCCTGTGAGAGGTACAAGCAGCCTCACATGTGCTACGAAGAACACAGCTACTTTAATGCTTGGGAAGGTGCTTGTGAATTGCAAAGCATCTCTTTCAAATTCTCGAAGAGCCCTATTTAATTGTGCTGAAGAAACTCATAATAAAAGTGAAGTGTTACTGCATTCATTCACCATCACCACATAGCTGAATTGGATTTATAATCCTGGCATGAGATGGGACAACTTCAAAAGCTTCAGAAAAAAATTATCTTAAAGTGAAAACTGCACTTTCTAGTTGGATTTACAGTTGTGGATGGGGGTTAGATAAATAGAAAGGGACTTCAGGAGAACTCCAAAACTTCTATAAACATCCATAAGTGAAAATTGTGGTGATACTTTTGTTTCCTGTGATTTAATTCTAATTTATGCATAATATAGAACTTTTACATTAAGGGTTAAATAAGAACAAGATCTAGATGGGTTAAATAGGAACAAGATCTAGAAGTTAGACATAGATTGTAAAGCATTTTCACAGAATGACCTGTGGTTAAAGGAATCTGCACTGATTACACTGACGCTTTTTGAAGAGTGAACAAATTGTCATATTATTGAAATGCTTTAGAACACTGTAATTGTTGCAGGAGTTACAGAAGCCACAAGAGGGAGCCAAAGTCAATATTATATTTACAAGGTTAGCCTTTGAAAAACTCTTCTCTTTTTTATTTAAAAAGTGGGAGGAGTCTGTGATTTCTAAGTAAATGTATACATAAAAGATTATAACTTATACGGAGACCAGGTAAAGGTAAAAAAATAAATTAATATCTCCTGAACATAGGAAGAGGGATAGGGACTCAAAACATTCTGGACAATCTAAGGCCCAGGTATCAAACTCGCCGGGACGTGATGTGATGTTTCGCGATATTTTTCCCCTTCACAGAGCTGGAGTGGGCGTTGCCTGCATGTAACGCATCCGGTCTGTGGGCTGCCAGTTTGACACCCCTGATCTAGGGCAGCTTTGCTGCCTGAGGAATTCTGGGAGTTGAAGTCCACAAGTCTTAACGTTGCCAAGGTTGGAGACCCCTGATCTAGGGTATCTAAAGAATAGGAATTGGACAGAATCAGTGGTGGGATTCCAAATTGCGTGCTACTGGTTCTGCGCGCTTGGCAGACAGTCACAAAACCTGATCACGCAACCACAGGACACTTCAACTGTCATAAATATGGAACAGTTGCCAAGCATCTGAATTTTGATCATGTGACCAGAGGGGATGCTGCAATGGTCGTTAAGTGTGAAAAACAGCCACAAGTCACTTTTTTTCCAGTGCCATTGTAACTTTGAATGGTCACTAAATGAAATGTTGTAAGTCGAGGACTATATCTGTAATTTGAATGGTTGCTAAACAGGGGAGTTCTTAAGGAAGGACTACCTGTACTACTAATACTAATGAAGAGTTATCATTATTAGATAAATGCCTCTTGTCTGCTATCACTCTCTGGCAGGATTGCCTTGTCCCAAGCCTCGTCAAGGGAAGAGAATAGACACCAGAACTCTGACGGATCTGCACCACAATAAGTCTCTCTCTGGTAACATAGACACGAAGTCACAAACTAGGCAGAAAATTCAAGGACAAGCCTTGGAGATAGATAAATAACTTTATTGCAGTACCAGCATCTCTAATAATGACCAAAACAGCTTTTAAAGAGTCTGAAACTCTAGCTATATTATACGCATGTGCCAAGGTTTAAATACTGAGTCAATTTCTCCAGCCCTTTCCTTGTAAAGGACTGCTTGAAGGCCGTTTACCTTCAGGCTGTTGTGGAGCTGTTGATGGCATCTGTGCTGTGTTTGGATGGCCCAAGCTCTTCATCCCATCTTACAAGCTCCAGTCTTAGGATCTCAGTTCTTTAGCCCAGACATTTATATTGTTTGCACATTGTTACAGTTGTCATTGCAGTCATGAAACCAAACAGGATTTTGCAGAGCTCTTGCGATTTCTGGCTTAGTTAAGTTTTTTGAACCCTACATAACAAAAACAAAGAAAAAGATATCACAAAGATTAGTTTTTAATTACTTATTGATGTATGTTTGCAGAAATGCAGCAAAGATGAACATTTAGATATACATTTAATAATCATTTCATTTAGGTGGGGTTGTGCTGCTCTAAACTGAGATTTATGTAGCCAGAGATTATGAAATAAATCTTGTTGGATTCAGTTCAAGTCACAATGATATAAAAAGAACTGAGGCCTTGGAAAGAGTACAGAGAAGAGCCACAAAGCTAGTAAAGGGTCTGGAAGAGAAATCCTATGATGGTTAGGTATGTCTAGCGTATTGAAGAGAAGGATTATGGGGGACGTGATAACAGTCTCCCAGTTCTTGAGGGGCTGTCACAAAGGAAAAGGGGTCGATCTATTTTCCAAAACACTAGAGGGCAGGCCAAGAAGTAATGGGTAGAAGACCATTAAAAAGAGACCCAACTTAGAAAGGAGAAATTTCTTGACAGTGAGAGCAATCAACCAATGGAACAGCTTGCCTTCAGAAGTTATGGGTGCTCCATCACTGGAGGTTTTCAAGAAGAGACTGAACAACCATTTGTCTGGAATGTTATAGGGTTTCCTGTATGAGCAGGGGGTTGGACCAGGAACAGTGGTCTCCAACCTTTATGGCTCCACAGACCGGTAGCGGTGGTGGCAGTGGCAGTGAGCAAGGGGGAGGGGATGGTTCCTGTGCATGTGCAATGAAGTTTCACATGCTCACCCACCACTTGTGCAGCCCGGTTCCCAACAGTCTGTGGACCAGTCCTGGTCTATAGATCTGGGGTTAGGGACCCCTGGACTAGATCCCTTCCCATTCTATTAATCTATGTTTTATGATTTGCACTAGCAGCTAAGCATAAATGAGGGTTTATAAACTAGTTTATAAAAAGTGGCAAATGAGGTAAATTTACCTCTTTGCAAATGAGGTAAATCCAATCCATATTTGGCTTAGACAAAATGGGGATCCCTGACAGTGGATATTTTTTTGTATAATGACCTTGAAAGTTTCATAGGGTTTCAAAAAGAAACAATAAAAAAATAGAATTACCAGGCATTCTGACTCTTTGAATAAGCGGGGTGAAAGATTCGAGGATACTTCGAATGCGTTGCCCTAATAGAAAAGAAACAAGAAATTTGCTGTCAGAATAGCAACCAAGTAGGTAATTAATATATCTGACCATTACAGTTTGAGTTACTGAAGAATTGGTATTTCCGTCATAGTGACCTTAAATTATGAATATAAGGCAGCTTGATATACTATTGCACAAATCAATACAGATGAAACACTCACAAAGGCCAAAATATATTCCTGTTGTTTCTAGAGTTGCAAAGGTCATCAAGCCAATTCCAGTGGAAATAGTCCAGTCTACAGAAAGAAAGAAAGAAAGGAGATTATATTTTGCTTTCTCTTTCTCCATATAAAATCGATAGATTGTAATGTTCACTTACCGTTATATTTATAATAGCAGACTAATAACATTCCAACAGCAAAACAAATAATGACAAAATGGAAGAATTCATCTGAAAAAAGAAGAAGAAAATATTCAAGGCTATAATTTAATAGCTGCAATTTCATATATGTTCATGAAAATAAAGTTCTACTATTGGAAGTTGTTTCCAAAAATACAGTGGGTGCATTTGTGTGTGTATACATATGCATACACATACATGCATATACAGACACACACACACACTCATGGACACATCTAAATATATATGCATAATATTAATATTTTTATCACTTAAACAGCAGTTAAATAGGTTAATTAACTTCTTCCAGAGTCAGTAAGCAAAATACTTCCCCATGTATATTAAGCAAAAAAAGAACTTGAGTCAAGTTCTCAAGATTACAAGTTATGGGAGAAGGGAGCATATTCTGTTTACACACTGGTAGGTAGCCTGACTTGTACACGTATTAAAAATAGGATATTTGCTGATCAATTTGAGGGACTGCCTCTCCCTGGTTATATCAACGTTCCACTGGCAAGAGATGAAACATTTGAAGGATCACAGGGGATGTGCCTTCTCTGCTGTGTTGCCTGCCCTATGGAATATCCTTCCCACCCACCCACCCACCCCAAATTAGATTGGCCCCAATCCTTTTTGACATTCTGAATGGTCAGATTTGGTTTCTATTGTTGAGGTAGCCATTTTTATTCCTCTGGTTGTCTAGGATTTGTATGTCTGGTTTTCTATGATGTTTATTGATATGGATTTTTACATCTGTGGTTTTTAACATTGTTCTTTTATCTCATTGCTTCATGCTGCCCAGTATTATTTTTAGTGAGATGGGCACCGATATAAAATTTTATTAATAAAATAAATAAATAAAATTACTGAAAGTTTTCAGCTTAAAAACCTAACTATGGTTAGTTAGAGAAAAAGCATCTTTATATCGATCTGATTTGCACCTGTTAATGTTGTGTGTATGGAAAATGTTCTCTTTTTTTTTTTAGTTATGCCAGTCTAGGATAGAAATCTAAACATTTGGCTTAAGATTTGCCTCACAGAGAGAAGAATTTGTGGTTTAAGTTTGTGATCAGTTATTCTTACCATCTTTCCGAATCCTTGGAATCCACCATCTTGAGTTTTGGGTAGAGTGACAGGCTCTATCATCGCACACTGTGAAAAATGAAATTTGATTTAAAATGTATGGTTTGGCAAAAAAAAAACCTCCAAAAAAACCTGAATGAAGGCATTGAAGCTGACAAACATCTGTTTATCCTCAAGCATTGGATAGACACAATGTGCTACTTATTACATTAAAGGTGCTGCTTTTATCAAGTAGGCTCAACTCCTTGGACTTTCTAATATGAGGAGAAGAACTATTGTTAGGAACTGTTTTAGAATTTCAGATACCAGTAAAGTATCACAAGGACAAATAGGCTGAAAAACAGCTTCTATCCCAGGGCAGTAGCTCTTTTGAATTCTGCTGTATAGTGCAGTGTTGGTGTGGTGTCGGGGGTTTCTGGTTCAATGTGCGAAGGGTGAAGGATGTGTGTTTATTTTCATGGTCATGGTCATGATGTGCACTGAAGATGGTGTTTGATTTCGTTGTACAAGGTGCAATGACAATAAAGTAAACTAAAGTGCACCAGTAATGGAAACCACTGAACCTTTCTACTGGCCTCTATCAATTACTGTACAGACTCTTTCTCTTCCTATAAATCAGGAGGATGCATAGTGTACTCTGACTAACTGGATGAACAGCATTAAGAACAAACTTCTATATTTCCTATCCCTGCACAAAGAAGGTAAATCAGAGAATTTGTCCCATCAACTGTTCCTTCGAAAGAACCAGTATTTGAGCTACATACAATTTTTTTTTCAAAAATGATGTCCCTACTGATGAGAAACCACCAGCCAAGGATGCTTAGGTTTTCATATCTTAGACAAATAACTAACATACAATACAAATGAAACACACATGTTATTCAGAAGAAAACAAGTTATATACAAGAAGATTTTAAACAGTTATATTTACCAACTGCAGGTATTCCTTCTGTCCTTGATATTTCTGGTAAATAACAAATTTGCATTTTAAAAAGATATTTCTTTGTTCAAAAAGAAATTTATTTATATCATGTTTGTTACAATGGAGCTGAGAAGTGGAAAATGGTAGTTCTCCCAGCTGACTTGAGTTATTTGAAGTAAGACCATATGCATTTTTGTTTGTGTAAGTAAGAAATAAAAGATTTTGAGAAATTGCTGATGGTGTGCAACAGATGAAGAAAGATTCCTATTATTGTTGAAGACCATATTGGAGTTTGTGATATTCCATTGTGTTCTATTTGCTGTTTTTTAAAAAATAAAACATATTTAATATTCACTGTAATGAATGAATTCTAAATATCATTATAATATTAAACAAAAACCTTAAGCTAGCCAGAATTCTTGTGCTTGATTGTCATAAACTTTCTTTAGCTCTGAAACACACATCTTAAGCTCAGAACCTTTCATTTTAAATGTATGACTATTTAGAGTTCAATAATCTAGGCTTTTCCTTTAAAAAAGCTGTTTAGAATCCACAAACTGATTTGTTTAGAATATGTGTGTGCCAAGAAAGTGTGGGTTATATACAGTAGAAATTTTTTTTCAACTACAAAGATTTTATAATTGTGAGATTATCACTTTTGTATCACTTTTCACTCTCATATCACTTTTCTTGTTTATCCTGTTGTGATTGTAATTCATTGACTCAAACAATTACATTATCTTTTAAAAGATGCAAAAAATAAAAAAATGAAACCTTTGTTGCAGTAGCAGACCAGACCAATAATAAAGCAGAAAACAATACACAAATCAAGAAATTACCAAGGAGAATACCACACACCAACCAACACTGGAAGGGCAAGCTATAAACAGAAAGCAAACCCCACCCTCATTAACACTGATGATGTTATCTAATCTAATAATGAAATGTCTGCAACCAAATAACTAACCTTACAATACACTAAGAAGTCCACCACAAGGAGCAACGACAGACTTGAAAAAAATTATTAAAATGTTTAACTTAAACAAAATTAATGAACTTAATTAATTTAATTAATAATTGTAGTCCAGTACTTCTAGGAGGGTTGGGGCAAAGTTTCACTGATCACTTTTCCAGAGCTGCACCCCTGCAGGAGATTCAGTGTTGAACCTTTTGAGCTTCCAGGCTGTTCTTCCAGCTTATTTTGCTACTTGCTTAGTACACAGGCAGGTGGAGCAGGAAACCAGGGAAGCCAAGATAATTCACTTCCAAATGCCTCCATTTGTTCTCTTGGTCTCTCAACTTATCATCTAGATCAGGAGGAGGCAGGAGACCCATGAAAATTGGCAATGCCAAGGGGGCGGAGAGGAGATAAAAGGATTGGGCTTACTTTTTTTCTTCCATTCAATCATGTCTGATTCTCAGGGTTTCTGCAGTTTTCTTGGCAAGGTTTTTCAGAATTGGTTTGTCATCGCCTCCTTCTTAGGGCTGACCAAAGTGACTAGCTCAAGGTCACTCAGCTGGCTCTGTGCCCAAGGTGGGACCAGAACTCATGGCCGGGTGCTTTAACCACTACACCATTGATTCTGTACTTAGAAGCCTTCAGATTCTATAATTCTATAACTTAGAAGCCCTCAGATTCTATAAAAAGCAGAGCTTCATGTGTGAGCCTCATACCTGTTTCAGAGTATGGAATAATTTCACTGGACAGATCTAAAATGACAAAAATATACAAAATTGACAAATTAATTCATGTTTGTTCAAAATTGTTCCAATTCATGCAGGTATTAAAACATGGAGATTTTTCAAACAAGAAAAATTTGAGAAGTAGCAGAAAGATTTGCATATAAATGAATCTAATCTAAACTGTGTTATTCCAATCACCATTATTACTGTTTTACTCTTCAGTTTTCATGAATCTTCAAAAGTGAGTCCTCATGATGACAAAAAAATCTGGCCTGTTTTCAGAGAAATGCAGCCCATTTGAGGAATTACTTGCTAGAAAAAGACTGATTTGAAAACAAAGAGAAATGATTTCTTGAGGGCAGCAGCCATCTGGATTTGCAAAAACGATTTATCCCTCATTAGGGCTACTGAGGGCCAAATTCTGGGAAAGGAAAGAGGGAATAGGGGTCTGGGACATGCAGAAAGAGATGAAATTCTGAGACTTGATGAGCTTATGTGGATGTTAGACTTTTCTGCCATTTTCAGAAATTGGGTGTGTGTTGTGGTTCGCCGGCAGCAGGTGTGGACACCTGAGGTCTCGGAGAACGAGGACTCAGATGAGGGGCCTACATGTGATGCAAGGATGGGGCCAGGACTATCAGGAAGTAGAGTGCTGTCTTCGGAGATTGTGGAGGCTGGCAGCAGTGATGAAGAGGTCCCTGAGGAGCCTGTGCCCAGTGCATGTGCTCAAAGGGCTGCTCGAAGGAAACAGCAACTGCAGCAGCACGGGCAACTCGGGAGTAAGGCTGCAAGGTAATGGCTCCTCCCTTAAGAGATAAAAGCCAGCTGAAAAACCAGAGTTCTTTGCAGGAAGGAAAGAAGTTTTTGCACTCAAGCCTTGTGGACGTTCAGAATATCTTGGTTGGTGCTTGGAGACTCTTTGTGTTTGAAATATTTCTTAATAACTTTATCTAGTGTTCTTGGCAGTCTTGCACAACCTTAGCAAGGCTCGTTCTTATCAGAAACAATTAGTTTGAAACAGCCTTTTAACTGTGACGAACGGAATTTGTAAAGAATCATTCAAAGGTTTTGCTGTTACCTCTGTTTCATGTTTGTTTCCTTGGAACAAGGTTTGGATCAGAGCAGGGTGTGTGTGTAAACATGTATGTATATACAGGTAGACCTCGACTTACAACCATTCATTTAGTGACCGTTCAGTTATAACGGCACTGAAAAAGTGACATATGACTATTTTTCACACACATGACCGTTATAATATCGCCATGGTAATCCCCATGGTATCAGGCACTTGACAACTGGCATGAACTTATGACAGTTGTACTGTCCTGGGATCATGTGATCACCATTTGTATTTGCTTCTGACAAACAAAGTCAATGGGGGAAGCCAGATTTGCTTAACAATCACATGATTCACTCAACACTTGAAGTGATTTACTTAACAAATGGTTAAAGGCAAATGGTTGTAAAATAAGCACAACTCAATTAACAACTGTCTCACATAGCAATAGAGATTTTGGGCTTAACTGTGGTTGTGAGTCAAAGGATTACCTGTATTTTCACACACACATTCTCTTTGCAGAAATGATGGGCACCTTGTTTTCAACACAAGCAATTGCCTGAAAAGGAATGGACTGTTTTTTCTGTGGTTAATCACAGCAGGAAACCAGCAGCCCGCAATATATTGCTCAAAAGGGGAGAGTCCACTGTTGCTTATTCCATCTTCCCAGTCTTATTGCACATGACTTTTGATTTGGAGGTGGAAGGAGTTTAGGCTGAGACTTAGATTTTAACTTAGACTCCAAGTGATACTACCGAAAAATTGCTATGTTCCAACTACAAGGAATACAGATCAAATCACTGTTGATTGTTGATTTGATACTATGAGGAAGGATGTTTGTGTCACTTTTCTCTGCCCTGGTACAACCCTGACCTCTGGGAAAGGCAGAAAGAGAGATGAACATGAGCAGGGGTGGGTTTCAAAAATTTCAGCAATAGGTTTTCTGGCCGGTTGCTGGGTGCGCATGGCCATGATGGGCGTGGGCTAGTCAGCCTCATGCACCATGGCAGGGGGGCCGTTTTCCTCTTCCCCAGTCTCCGGAGGCTTTCCTCGAGCCTCTGGGAGGGCAAAAACTGCCTCCCCCAGGCTCCGGAGGCCCTACTGAGGCTGGAAATGGGCCCATTTTTGGACTTCTGGGACTTCCAGGCCCATTTTTTCGCCTTCCCCAGGCTTCAGAGGCTTTCCTCGAGTCTCTGGGAAGGCAAAAACGGCCTCCCCACTGGCTCCAGAGCCTGGAACTTCCAGAACTTCCAGGAGGCCTATTTTTCTCCCTCTGTGTGGGCCCTGCACCTACCTCACATCCAAAACAGGCTGCATGGAGACTCCTGGGAGGGGTGGGGTGGGAGGGACCAGCCAGGGTTGGGATTTGGCAGTTTGCCAAACTAGCCATAATGAACATGAGTTTAAATGAGCCTATTTCCTTGTACCTTCCCCTCCCCACCCCCACCCCCCCACCCCCAAAAATCTGCTCCACAGTCTTGTGAACTAAGAATGCCCATTAGGTCTCTGAGGCCTCGCTCCTGGTAAGAGAAGCATATGGAATAGTTAATTTTATCACTGGAGGTTTTTAAGAGGAGGCTGGACAGCCATTTGTCTGGAATACTATAAGATCTTCTGCCTGAGCAAGGAGTTGGGCTAGAAGATCTTCAAAGTCCCTTCCAACTCTGTTATTCTGTATTTTACCTTGTTGGGGACTCTCTGTTAACTCTCCCAAAGAACTTGCATCCTCACTTTCTTCTTGCATTTCTGCTTTTTTATTATGTTCTTGTTTCATCCCTTTGAAATGATGATAAGAAAAAATATATATTTAAAAATGTACTTATCATGAAGGGTGTAGTCTTACATATCTGCAACAGCCGATAGTAACAGGCTTGACCAAATATTAACATTGCTCTGATTGCTTGCTAAGATTGCCTATTTTTTCAGGCCTTTACATTTTGAATGACATATGATATCCCTAAGCAGTAGTTGCACAACCTTCCTCAGACTGTAGATGAGGAAAGCAATTTTTAAATTTTAATAAGGAAATGCAATTCGTTTGAATGTATTTTACCATTTTCTTCCTTTTGTTACATTAAAACCACACTTTTGGAAGGGTTCTGGCTCAGTGGTGGGATTCAAAAAAATTAACTACTGGTTCTGTGGGCGTGGCTTGGTGGGCATGGCAGGGGAAGAATATTGTAAAATATCCATTCTCACCCCACTCCAGGGGAAGGATACTGTAAAGTCTCCATTCCCTCCCCACCCCACTAACCTGCTTTCCAGCTCCGTTCTCCTGTGCAGGGCAAGATCCAGCCAATCAGCTGGGACTCAGGAAGCAGAGTATAGATGGGGGTGGGGCCAATTAGAGGTGGTATTTGTCAGCTCTCTGAACTACTCAAAATTTCCGCTACCAGTTCTCCAGAACTGGTCAGAACCTACTGAATACCACCTCTGTTCTGTGTATTGGACTCAAGGCTTTGGGCCTTAGGTTGTTCTTTTTTTCCCCCTGAAGCTGACTGCAAAAATCAGAAGCCTCTCTGTAATGTTTAGAGTCTACAAAATGGAGATCAGTGTAATAAAACAACAGGAAACACAGCCGTTAGTTTCGCTCATGTACTGTGCAAAATCCACGGATGACTGAACTCGCTTAGCCTTAGATTGGACCTGCAGATTTGTAATACTGCTGACATCCCTAATTACAAAAGTAATTTTTTGTGTGACTGTTTCATTCATGTAAACACTGACCTATCCAGAGAGTGATTTACATCCAAATATTTACATCCAAATCAGGAATGTCTAGAGTTCCAATGAGGTGTCAAGCTATTATTATAGCAACCTGACTCAAATTATGCCTTCCCCTCCAAATGCTTGTGGAAGATAATGCCAAAACTAAGTGGGTGGGTGCTTGTTGGAAGTGTTCATTTTAGCAAAACTCAGTACATACTGTAAAATCTGCCTACTATCTGGCCTGTCTATCTTTGTACAAATATTTAAGGAATGTGTATAATCGTATTGGTGGATGGTTAATTCACAAACAAACAGTTCTATTGTTCCCAAACCAGTTTCTAATAATCTTTCTGCTTGTGTTACCTTTCTGTTTTGGTTTTTGAGACAAAGCCACAGAATCTGAAGTATCCATTGTAGGGCTATAAATACAGAAAGAGTTTACAAAACAGCTTAAGTCCTTCAGTTCTTCATTCCCCTTAACAGCAATACAGGACTATAATCTTGCATTTGATTTTTTTTTAAAGACCAAGAATTCTCTTGTGTTCTTTAGTGCCACATGAAGCTACTCTGAAACATTGATTAGGGATTTGGATTACGTGTGCTCTTATGTTAAGAATTTAGACTATTTTGACTTCTTTTTTTCTTATACTGGTAAGAATATACTTGATTTATAACAGATTATTTAGTGACCATTCAAAGTTACAACGGCACTGAAACAAGTGAGTTATGACCGTTTTTCACACTTATGACCATTGCAATAGCCCCATAGTCCCACGGCCAATATTCAGACGCTTGGCAATTGATTCAGATTTATGACGGTTGCTCTGTCCAGGGGTCATTTGATCCCCTTTTGAGAACTTCTGCCAAGCAAAGTCAATGGGGGAATCAGACTCACTAAACAACTGTGTCACTAATTTAACAACTGGAGTGATTCACTTAATAACTGCAGCACAAAAAGCCATAAAATGGGGCTAAATTCACTTAAATGTTTCACTTAGCAACCAAAATATTGGGTTCAATTGAGGTCCTAAGTTGAGGACTGCCTGTGTAATTGCCTTTGTATGTAGAAAGTCAGTGGGCTATCAAATGAAGACTACAGTCCTACTTATCTGGGAACAAGATCCAATTAAATCAGAAAAGTTTATATTGAGTGCAAATTTATTAGAATTATTTGAGTGTGCATGAACTGAAAATGCTTTAGACATCCTTCGGACAATCCCATGAAGGAACCCCGTTCATGAGATTGTCCATAACTAATGCATTAGATTTTTTTTTCTCCAAATGATCTATTTTCATCCTACTGAATGATAGGAAATATTTATTGTGCAAAATAAGTTGTGCGTGAATCTATTTAATTATAGAGGTGCAGTATTTTCAAGTGAAAAACTGTGAGCATGAAGCAAAAACTTTAGAAAGAAAATCTGCAATAGCTGAATAAGTAAATTAACCAGTAATGCTATTGTGTAAATTTTCTTATGTTAGGGAATAATCTGTTGGCTTTGCTGTTTAAAGGCAAACTTTTTAAAACTCTAAAAACTCTTAAACTCTATATGAAAGACATATAGAGAGCTAGTGAATAATCCTTGTTGGAGATAGAAGAAGTGGGTGTGTATCTTTCTGTGTCAGAGTATCAATCATAGAGTAAATATGGGGTGGGGTGGGTGGGGTTCAGCAAGTCACAACCAAGTTATGGAGGTTGTGAGAGGTGTTGTTCAAGGCCACCTGACTCCTAACTATGAGTCCCAATGCATGACCTCTGACGCAGGCCAAAATGGAAGTGCCTGTGGATTGAGGTTGAAAGGAAAACAATAGTTACACTTTCACCTCCCTGTCAAGAGAAAGGGTGGCCTTTTAAAATATAGTTTTCAGTTATAGTTAGCTCGGATCTATTTGCTTATATTCTGTTCTTTGAAGGTAGTTGTTCCTCATTAAGAAAAACAAATTTTCAGAACCAGTTCTTACTTAATAGTGTCAATGCTCACCTTTGACCAGAGGATCTTAGACACCTTTCCAGGGTGTATGAAGATGCTAATTCCTAAGGAAAGAACCAGAAACAAATCTGTAACAAGCTGAGATCATTTTCATCTTTTAAAAATTTTATAGCACATTTGATTAATTTTAGTAGCATTCTCTCTACTCCTGTGTTAGGGACTATCATAAAAATATCAGAAATCACTTGGAACAGCCGTTGCAAACTTGTCATTCTCCAGATGTGCCAGAATTCAACTCTTCTATAGTGGAATAGGGCTGGAAGGACAGACTTTAACAGACCAATTACAGGAAAGAAAGGTAAGGTTGAAATTCCCTGCTGTTATTCACCAGTTACAATTCAGAAGTGAGAACAAGCACACAATTAAATACACAAGGCAATTTCTCTTCACATTTATATTGGTATGAATTATAAAAATAATAAAAGTGGGATGAAGGAAGGAAGGAAGGAAGGAAGGAAGGAAGGAAGGAAGGAAAGAAAGAAAGAAAGAAAGAAAGAAAGAAAGAAAGAAAGAAAGAAAGAAAGAAAGAAAGAAAGAAAGAAAGAAAGAAAGAAAGTAAGTTGGAATCTCTAGAGGTCTGATTACATAGTCAACCATCTGTTGGGTCCATCATGGTGATAACAGAGATTTAGTGTGAAGTGAAAAAGTTCTGTCTCAGAGTCTTTCCCACAAGTGTCTTCAGATGCCTTGTAGCAACAAGCAGTCATTAGTGATACAATATGAAATCTACCCCTATTTAGAGTTGCTTTGACTCTAGAATATTCTTTATACTACTTACTGGGGAAAATGCCAAAAGTGGTTCTTTTAGTTTGCTGAAGATACCTGTAGTGGAATCTGGATTGCAGTGCATGCACTGTACCACCAGTTTTTCCACAGAAGCTATCTATCAACAATACCACTGTCTCCTATGCACTAAAATAAGAATCACTTTAAGCTGAACATGATCCTGGATGACTATATCTATACATTGTTCTTGGCACTGTTACTTTATGCCTTATTCTTTGGTGTTTTTTCAACTTTTCTTTTCCTTACTGCCCTCCTTCCTTCCTTCCTTTCTCTTTCTCTTTCTCTTTCTCTTCCTTCCTTTCTTTCTTTCTTTCTTATCTATCTGATAAGGTAATTCTGGACAGTACACATTCTTGTTTCATTTCTGAGATCAGCAACACCATCTATTCTAGGCCTTCTCTGAATTTTACTCAATTAATCTTGACTGAACCCATGAATCCAAATCTTTCATTTGATATGGTACATCTTCTATCTCATGTACTTTAGAGGAAGAAGACAAATAGTGTTGGCTGTTGTGAGCTAGCCTGAATACACAGATCAACAACACATTCATGTGTTTCATATATTATTGTTCACTGTGTCTGGCTGAAGCTAAATATTGCTTTGCATCTGAACAGAGGTCTCTAGCACAATTATCATATGGCAAATCAGGAAACATCTTTTAAAAATAATTAATCTGTCCACATTTTAAAAAGGATAACTCTTTCAAAAATGATAAATCTAATCATCTTTTAAATAATAAATCTGATCACCTTTTTAAAATGATAACTCTTTTTAAAATGATTAATCTATCCTTAGGCTCAGTGACAGGTAATAAATCTTGTTGTTGATTTACTGACCCTTTTCCTAAGACATTGATACAACATAATACATTGACTTAAATTTGTTGATAACTGCTAAATATGTTGTTGCAATTCATCAGGAAAGAGCAGTGCATTTTTGAACCAGTGATATTTAAAAATGTGGGAAAACTTTGCCTGAAAAATTAACACACCTAGCTTTAAAAACTAAATATAGTTTTATTCAAAGTAGGTTACTAAATGTATGAAATATTAACAAACTTTTTATAATGTATTACAGTTGATTTTTCTCTTTTTGAAAATACTTTTCCAAATAAAAATATTGAATACAGATTTTTAATTTTTGTAGTTTCCTTGAGAGAAGATGTATATACAATCCTTCCAAATTTTGGGTTGTTTTTTTTTTTTTATGTTCCTTGTCCAGTATTTATAATTTTCTCTTTGAAATGCTATTGGTTTTTTTTTAAAAGCAATTATCTTATTGAAGGACTGACATGCAGAATCAAATAATGGTGTTGTGTTTATAATGAAGGAAACTCATTCTCATCATCCATAGAGCATATGGAGATTTCATATACGCTAACATCTAAGGTTGATATGATCTGAAAAGCACTGTAGTTCCATTTTTTTCCACGATGAATTATGTTTCTAATTAATATCAATAGCACTTAGCCTTATATACTGCTTCACAGTGCTTCACAGTGCTTCACAGCCCTCTCTAAGTGATTTACAGAGTCAGCATATTGTCCCCAACAATCTGGGTCCTCATTTTACCAACCTCAGAAGAATGAAAGGCTGAGTTAACCATTGCACCACTGCAGCTCCAAATAATAATGCTATATATGTCAGTGTTTTAAATCGAATGTGGTAAATGGTTCTGAATTTATTTATGAAAAGTAGGAGCTTCACTATTCCAGACAATGGGGGGGGGGGGGTGTTAATCCTAAAAAAAAACAATAACAAGAAATTTCCATGTATCTGGATAAACACACCGCCATGACAGAATCACAACTGATAAGGAATCCATAAACACCCTAACCCACAATGTGGGAAAACAGCCAAGTTTTCTAAGACTTCTGTAGCATCATCATCATGGGAACAAATGGATTTCTGAGGAGATTTTATTCTAGACGACAAGCACCATGACAGAGAAAGCAAAGACCTCTTCACTCCAGGAGGCCATAGAACCATGGCAGCTAAATACTCCTTTCAGGTTATAAGGGTATCAATAGCAGACTAATAAAATAGTTCAAAGTTGAACTGAGAAGTCCTTGGTGCTCTCTGAACTTGGTGGTTTGCTTATAGACATTTTGCCACCAAATTAACCAGCAATAAAGATGTTACCAAGCCTGGTAACAAAATGTCTGCAAGCAAACATTCATGGTTAAGGTACTTGCTGCTGAGCTGATCCCACTGTGGATAGATCCTAGACTGCTCACTCAGCTGCCTGTTTACTCCCTAGCAGCTAATTGAGATAAGCTGAGTGCTATTGCCACCCCTTATAGGTAACAAGTGCTTAATTTGATTATTTACACATCAGGATTCCAAAGCTACAAAATGCTTTATCAGCTAGTGATTTATTTATTTATTTGCAGGGCAGGGGTTATTCTCACCAGGAGACTCTGAGTTCTAGTCCTGTCTTAGACAAAGCTGTCTGGGCGACTTTGGACCAGACACTCTCTCTCCACCCTGGGAAGAAGGCCAAGGGCAAACCACTTCCATACAATCTTGCCATGAAAACTGAAAGGGCTTGTCTATAGTGATTGAAGGCATGACCACACATGCCCACACAACAAAAAACCTCCAATAAATGTATTTTTCCTACTTCCTACTTCCTCTCATTGTCAGTTTAATTTAATTGATTTGGCTTTAAATTTTAGCTATAACCCAGTTTGGTTGACCAGAAAATATATAATAAGGAAATAGAAATGAGAAATCGTACGTTTTATGGGCAATGCTACGAAGCGTGTCAGAATGGGGATCAAACTACCTGATGACGTCTGATGTGAGGGGTTCTAGAATGCCACCTTTACTTTTGCTTTGAAATGGTTACTATCCCCTAAAGAGTTGAGGCTCATCTACCTTGCAGATTTATACCACTTTGGCTTTGACTGGCTGCATTTGCATTTTAATAAATAATAGTTTAATCATGGGTAACAGTAAGACATTCTTTACTTAAATATGATACACTGAATGACATTCAAGTTAGCTGGATTTAGACACAGTAAATATGCTACATCGTTTTAGCTATGATTTATATTATGCAATGGCTAGGTTCACACAACATACTAAACCAAAAGCAAATAAATAGAATAACAGAGTTGGAAGGGACTTTGGAGGTCTTCTAGTTCAACCCCCTGCCTAGGCAGGAGACCCTACCCCACTTCAGATGAATGATTATCCAACATCTTTTTAAAAACTTCCAGTGTTGGAGCATTCACAACTTCTGGAGGCAAGTTGTCCCACTGATTAATCGCTCTGTCAGGAAATTTCTCCTTAGTTCTAAGTTGCTTCTCTCCTTGATTATTTTTATTCTTGATTTAGTGGCACATGAATCTGGCCACTGCCTTTGATTATTGCTGGAATCCTTGAAAATTTATCTTTGTGTGTGTGGGGGGGTGGGGTGGGTGGGTAAGAATGAGACATTAAAAAGCTTAATTTATTTCCTTCCAGAACTACAAGTCCTACTGATTCAAAACAATTAACTTTAAATAGCTTTAAATCTTGATAAAACATGAAAACCTGCCAGATATGCTGTTGCCCCTTACATAGACTGTGAAAAATCGGCACAACGTATTTCCTTTATACCTTAGTTTCCCTGAGGTCAAAGCAGATGAATTTGGAATTTTTCTTAATTTAACAGGAGTCACATAACAGAAGAAAACACTAACCAGATCACCTTTACTGAAGACAAAGATAGATAGCACACTATTTAACAAGGAGAACCAAAAGCTTTCATTAGGTTAGATATATCTCAAAGAAATCACTTACCAATAAAAAGCTTAGGCTTGCATCAGGGAGTCATTCAAATATCCAGAGCCGAATAAAAGTTTGTTTAAAATAGTAACAGAGAGCTAATAAACTTACAGAAGAAACATCCCTTAAAAGAAATCTTTCTGGTCTGATTAGTTATACTCCTCTTCCTGCTACAGTCTATTTGACCGGATTGAGTTATTACTCATAGGTTTTGTTACGAATTGCAAAAGCTGTATGCTAATAGGCTCATGTAAATTTTATTTAAATTAAACTGTTGCATAATAATGTGGTGTTACAGTCGTGTAATGTAATTCTTTCCTGCTTATGTTAAATGTTGTTCCAGAAGAGAATAGTTTGTTACCGAGTAGATGAAATTCTGGAAATTTAAAAAACATCTTCTGATTGAGAACCTCAATTTTTCTGACTCTTCTAATGTCCAAAATTTCAGATACCAAGAAAATGTTTGCCATCTCCTTAAAATTATCCTTAGATCAAATGACTATAGAACAGGTTTGGGAACTGTGGCCCTTTTTTGACTTGTGGAGTTCAACTCCTAGTATTCCTGAGCCAGCCATGCTGGTTCAGGAATTCTGGGAGTTGAAGTCCACAAGTCATAAAGGGCCATAGTTCCCTATCTCTGCTATAGAACATCTAAAAGTGTATTTATTTGAGAGTATAGATACCATGTTTGTGAGCAGGTAGAAGATGACCACCCCAAATTTAGAGCTTTAAACTCTCCTATAATAAAACTTGAGAATTCCTATTTCATAACAGGCAATTATTCCTCAAGATTCTCATGAACATCTAGTGCTATGAAATAAAGATTGCATTCTATTCTAATTAACTCATTGACCCATACATATCTTCATCAGGTGTGACACACATAATTACTTCTAATGCTTTGGCATTCACAGAATGCAGTTCTTTGCAACTTTAAAGCAAGGAACCATACCTGCATCTAAGTATACATATGTAATAGGTATGCCTTGGGCAGAGCAGCCTTTCAACAGAGCAGAAAGGACTATAGATAGCAGGCATACACATTTTAAGGCATCTTCCAATTTTTCTCTATGCAGGTTATAAGGAAGTGGCTTGTTCCTAAACACTCATATTATTGTTTGATTTGTACGCTACTTGCAAATAAGTAAATCTGGGTTTCCCTATCTAACATTTCAATAGGAGAAGATTCTTCTTGCTAGCTGTGGGAGGTGCAATGCTAGTATGCAGGAGTGGGCTTCAAAAATTTTAGCAACCAGTTCTCTGCCCAGTTGCTGGGTGGGCGTGGCCATGATGGGTGTGGCCTAGGTGGCCTCCTGAATCACAGCGGTTGGGACGTTTTCACCCTCCCTGGGTATGGTTCCTTGCTTCCTTGCTCCAGGCTTTCCTCAAGCCTCCAGGAGGGTGAAAACGACCTCCCTGGGCTCCGGATAACCTCTAAAGCCCCAGAGGCCCATTTTTTTGCCCTCTCTGAGCCTCTGCACAGGCTCTGCATTTACTTGCTATCCCAAATGGGCTATGTGAGGCTCCTGGGAGGGGCAGGGTAGGGTAGGCAGGGCCAGTCAGAGGTCGGATTTGCTGGTTCACCGAACCAGTAATTAAAAATGATAAAATTAGCTACCAGTTCACTTGAACCGGAGTGAACCAGTGGCAGCCCACCCCTGCTAGTATGACAATGTCAGCAGAGCCAACTAGGCAGAAGGCAAGAGAGCATCATTCCACAAACAGCAGCCATGTGATCCAAGTCTCAAGAATCACGTGAGCTTTCTGTTTGTTTACAGATTTGTCTCAAGTAATAGTAGTTTTACTATGATTGCAAGAGGTGCTAAGTATTCCATATAGTTTGACTGTCCAGACTGTAATCCTCTCATTTACTATGGCTCATTTTTTTGATACTTCAATTGGCCAGTTGTAGAATTGGCTTTTTTGCTTTTCCTATCTTGCCAACTTTGGTATGTTGCTTCAATCCATTCAAGACGCCATTTTGCTTTATAATCAGAGTGTTTGTAGCATCACAATTGAAGAACTAAACTAGTTATCTAATGACCTCTGCTGACTCTAAGGACTCTGATCCTAGTGATTCTTGCCATCTTTTGACAAGGTAAAGGTTTCCCCTGACCAATTGTTTCTGACTCTAGATCAGCGGTTATGAAACTGGCAACCCGTGGGCCAGATGCATCACATGCAGGCCATGCCAACCCCACTTCCACAAAGGGGGAAACATCACCTTAATTATAACTTGTAATTGTCTCCAATTTGGTTAATCTCTTGTAATTGTCTCCAATTTGATTAATCTCTTGGATCTCTATTGGATGCTCCCCACCCCTGTTCTATAGTCATTTAGTCTAAGGATAATTTTAAGGAGATGACAAATGTGGGCTGGACTGTGCTGTTCATTAGATGGACACAACACTTGTTGAACTATTACACACGCATCAGCTCTGTATTGAGCTGGGGGAAGCATTATATAGTAACTTATACTGAAAAGTTACTATCAGCAGTAGATATGAAAAGATCCAGTAAACTTGGTGAATAATAAGCTGATTATGTACCAACAGTGTGGTATTGTTACAAAAAGAAAAAAAGAGCAAATACAATTCTAGAATGTATTAACTGAAATACAGTATCAAGAACAAGAGAAAACATTCTCTCTATCTAATTCGTATCATTTTATCAAACATTTTTTTGCATCCAGTTCTGGGCAATTCATTTTAAGAAGCATTTTGACAGACCAGAGCATGTCCAAAGGAAAGCAAACACAATGATAAAAGAAAAACTTATAAGATATATTCGGAGATATTGGGCATATTCAGTCTGGGGAAGAAGAAAAATCTATGGCTAGATATGATAGCTTTCTTCAATTATCCGAAGGATTGTCCTGTAGAAGGCAAGATTATGCAGTGTTGTTCCAGAAGACAACTGTACAAGAATCAACGGATATAAATGACAAGGCAATAGTAGATTTCAGCTGGAAAATTTTCCTCCCTGCTGTTCAACAAAGGAACGGAGGTGACGGATTCTTCTGTGCTGAAGGTTTTTCAGCAGAGGTGGGATAGCCAGCCTGTTAAATATTCCATTTAGCTCACTACAGGCAGTCACTCAAATCAAACCCATCATATTCTTGCCTGTGATATTTCATGATGTGATTCCAATCAATCTACTTCAGACATTCATCACTTGCCGAACCTCCAATTATTAAAGAGGTAGGAAGAGGGTTCCTGTGCTATTACAGAATAAGCCTACTATTCTACAAGATGCCCATGTCTAGCAGCAGACGGATATTTTTTTCTTAATGGTTGGGTTTATACATTGTGCAGAGCAAAGCTGTAGTCTGGTTACTTTGCCTTAGTATGGGAAAGTAAGTATGGGATGAGAAATCTGCTTGGTATGGGATGAGAAATCTGCCATTGCACGTTGTAAACCACGTTTTAAGATGATTCAAGTAAATACCATGATGGCCTATTCAGTAAATCATTCGTTTATCAAATCAACTATAAACAAACTAAGGTTTAGCATGATATGCAATGTCTGATTTTCTTCAGAACAATACATTCATCTGAAAAAGTAGTAGAGACAGTAGAGAGTAATGAAGGTGAGCTTGGCAAACATATGCATGAACTGCTACCTAGGCAAAGGATCATTTTAGATTTAACTTTTGGAGTGAGTGGTGCCTTGTAAGTCAAAATAACCCTAAAGAAATTGGATTATTTGAACCCACAGTAGGTTTCAGGCCTCTATGTAGTATAGAAACTGCATTGGTTACATTTATGGATCACCTATATCAACAGCAGAATTAAGACAATGCAATCCCCTTGGTCCTTCTTGATCTCTCAACAATTTTCAGTACAACCAATTGTGGTGTCCTTCTGGACCATCTTTCTAATCATCTTAGGCAGTGGCATCACTCTACAATAATTTTTCTTCTTTCTGAAGTGGCAATTATCAGTTGGGGGAAGGTGGTTCCCTCCAGAGACTTCAACTCTTTCTTTTTCCCACTTCTCTTTAATTAAAAAGGCTGGGGAGAGGACTCATCCATTGGCACAAGGTCCTGTATCATGAGCAGATGATGTGAATGCTCAGCTACCATGTTTCCTCAAAAATACAATCTATCCCGAAAATAAGCCCTAGCTTGATTTTTATGTGTATGCCTAACATAAGCTCTACCACAAAAATAAGCCCGAGTTAAGACCCTGCCCACTCCACCCCACTGTCTGGTTGTATGAGGTGGGATGAGGTCAGAAGTGCTATTCGACCAGTTCGGACCTATTTGGGCGAACCGGTAGTGGTTATTTGGCATGGGTTGCCGAATTGATGGCAATCCCTGGCTGGCCATACCCCCAACCCGGTTGCCCGGTCACTCACTTGCGATTGCTTGCCCAGCTTTCCATTCCCCACATCCTCTTTCTCCCCAGGGAAAAGGAAGAAAGGCATGGACGCTGCAAGTATTGCTTTCCCCGCATGAGTTAAGGTGTCTGGAGTGAGAAAGAGTGCGGTCTGACAGAGGGGGTGGGGGTGAATCGAGCCTTGGAGCACTTTTGCAACGTAAAAGAAATGCATTCTGGAAGCAGGTCTTTTAAAAACTTCTCCAAGGATTCCCCATGGACGCTGCAAGTATCGCTTTCCCCTTGTGAGTTAAAGTGCTGGAGTGAGAAGGAGTACAGTCTGACAGAGGGGGGTGGGAGAATCCGCTCAAGCCTTGGAGAAAGTTAAAGGAGCTGCTTCCACAATGCTTGTCTGTTAAGTGCTGTGTGTGTGTGTGTGTGTGTGAAAGAGGGAGAAAGAGAGAGAGAGAGAAAGAAAGAAAGAGGGAGAGAAAGAAAGAGGGAGAGAAAGAAAGAAAGAAAAAAAGGAAGAGAGAGAGAGATAAAACTCTGTGCTATTATTTTTAATTGTTCCATTATTTATCATGTGTTAATATTTTACACTGTCCCTACAACTAGAGTGATTTTTCTGCCTTCTTTTGCCCAGGGATACCATATATTTTTCAGGGTTTACATGCATTCAATGTCAATAATCCAGAGCATAAAATACACATGTGTTTAACAAGAGTTGAAAGGGACCTTGGAGGTCTTCTAGTCCAACCCCCAGCTCAGGCAAGAAAACTGAGGATGCCAAACTCTGAATAGAAATCCTGGGAAAGGTGTCAGAATAACACTTAGAAGGGACCTTGCGGGGAACCCT